GTGTGTGTGTGTGTGTGTGTGTGTGTGTGTGTGTGTGTGTGTGTGTGTGTGTGTGTGTGTTGTAATAACAAAGCAGCACAGTGATGAAGACAGATGGCAGCGAGGATTCATTTGCATTATTTCCAGAGTATTTTTAGTGTTTTCTGACGAGAATCCTGCAGGAGGAGTGTGCGCGCGTGCTCGTGTGTTTGGCGCGCGTGCTCGTGTGTGTGTGTGATGGAGGAGGAAACAAGGTGATGATGGACAGCCCAGCAGGACTCATCATCATCATCATCCTCACAGCAGAGAGGTGGAGAGCAGGATGGACGGCTGGAAGAGGCTTCAGGCCCGTTGGATCAGAACCACTCTGATCCTGGACCGGTCCAGACCCACAGGCTCTGATCCTGGACCGGTCCAGACCTACACAGGCTCTGATCCTGGACCGGTTCAGGACTAGACGCACACTGAGCCCAGACCGGTTCAGAACCAGAAAACAGCACAACAACTCCGGTTGTAGTCCAGTTCAGGACCACGGACAGCACACTGACACTGATCCGGTCCAGAACCACAGATCCTGATCCGGTCCAGAAACTATAGACTCTGATCCCGGTCCGGATCAGAACCACAAACAGCACACAAACTCTGTTAACGGTCCAGTTCAGAACTAAAGATTCCGACACCGGTTCGGTGTCCCGGCTCGGGAACCGCTCCGGGTCAGGTGAAGCTGCCACCACCCGCCCACCGCCGGTTCGGTCGGTGTGGACCGGGAAATCCGTGACGGCCTGCAGAGAGGAAGGCCTAACCCCCACCCTCTCCCTCGGATCAACATCCACCTGAATCCCGCCGCACGTCGGGAGAACCGAGGCGGACCCGCAGCCTGGACCGGGACCAGGCCCGGTCCAGAACCAGCCCAGCATAAAACCCCGAAGCGGGCCCGGTTCTGAGCATGTGTATCTACTCACTGCTGGTCCGGTGCGCTCCGGCGGGTTGAGCCCCCTCCCTGCAGGGGGAAGCAGGAAAGCCCGGCTGAGGGATTATTTAGCGGGAAAGACGCATCTTTGCACCGATTCTCGTGGCGCGGGTTGGACTCTGCTGCAGCGGGAAATGTGCAAACGGCGCTGCGCAAAACCCAAAACACAGAAATATTCCAGCAGCGCAGAGAGGCCAAGTCCAGAGAAAAGACAGGAAAGCATCCAGAGAAACGACGAAACAGCGATTCACCACACTCCCCTCCTCCTCTTCCTCCCTGTTCCTCCTCCTCCTCCTCTACAATCTGGACGTCATGATGGAAACGCGCCGTGCGTAAAACCCTCCTCACGCACTCCGGCTTGATTTTCCCAGGATGAGACAGAGAGGTCTGCACCAGGATCCTGATGAATGGAAACCAGCAGCTCTGTTTGCGGCTCGATCCCGCCGTGTGCGTGCCGTGCGTGTGTGCGTGTCGTGCGTGTGTACGTGCCGTGCGTGCAGGCGCACACTGCGGCTTTAACGCACTTAAGCCTTAAAGCTCTCCGCAGCTTAAGGCAACGAAGCTGCGATCAGTTTTTCTACAAGGCTGCTCATCTACTGAGTCACAGGCTCCTTCTGAGTGATCAGCATCCATCCCTCATCCAACCAACATCCATCCATCATCCAACCATCATCCAACCATCTGTACAACCATTCATCCAACCATCATCCATCCATCATCCAACCATCATCCATCTGCTCATCTACTGAGTCACAGGCTCCTTCTGAGTGATCAGCATCCATCCCTCATCCAACCAACATCCATCCATCATCCAACCATCATCCAACCATCTGTACAACCATTCATCCAACCATCATCCATCCATCATCCAACCATCATCCATCTGCTCATCTACTGAGTCACAGGCTCCTTCTGAGTGATCAGCATCCATCCCTCATCCAACCAACATCCATCCATCATCCATCCATCTGTACAACCATTCATCCAACCATCATCCATCCATCTGCTCATCTACTGAGTCACAGGCTCCTTCTGAGTGATCAGCATCCATCCCTCATCCAACCAACATCCATCCATCATCCATCCATCTGTACAACCATACATTCATCCATCATCCATCCATCTGTACAACCATACATCCAACCATCATCCATCTGCTCATCTACTGAGTCACAGGCTCCTTCTGAGTGATCAGCATCCATCCCTCATCCAACCAACATCCATCCATCATCCAACCATCTGTACAACCATTCATCCAACCATCATCCATCTGCTCATCTACTGAGTCACAGGCT